TATACCAAGTCATCCAAAATAATTCGTGCAAAAATTAAATTAAATTAAATATAAAATAAAACCCTTTTCGACTATTCCAAATTTTTGAAATCAAAGAAAATGAGTTCATAAATCACGATTAAAGAAAGGGAAGACAAATGTTTGATTAGTTCAAACTTAAGGCACCCTTTTAACCTAATCTAAATTAGTTGCAAGGTTTAGTCAAAATTTTCCTAATCAAACCTTTAAACTTATTGTGACGACCCCACCTCCCCTAGGGCATACCCAAGGGTTTGGCCGCCTGCCCAACTCTCGTCAGGACTCACTCACTCAGTCAACTCTCAAGATTAATCATTCAGGCCTCCAAAATAACATTTAAGTTCTATAATTCAACCAAAATGTAAACTTATTTACAAATCCAAAAGTCAAACATATAATACCACATCAAATGTCAAAATATATTCTATCAACCAAAAAGTATAAGTATAAGAGGGTTACATACTCTAGTTCACATTCAATTGCTTCGGACCTCCATTCCTGTAAGGAAAACAAAAACTAAAGGAATGAGCTAAAAGTCCAGTGAAGTTCCTAAACAAGCAATCAGGTAGGAAAACCATGGAAACATTATATTTAACAATTTGCATACTTTGCATAGTAATATTCAGTCATTCAAGAAATAAATACTCAATCATTGGAAGGGCACATGCTCACTTGGAGCCATTCGTTCAAGTCATTCATTTGCCAACCATTTTCCTTATCTCTCCGACATTAGAAAACATTTGCAAGTGAAAACTCCTTCAGTGATCTTGTCATTCATTCATTGATATCACTGCATTGAATTCACTGGCCAGTTCTCCACCAGATTTCGTGGTAATACTCGAATATACCAAACATTGTCCCAAGGTCACCAGCCACCTGACCAAATCTACTTCTGACTCGAATCGACTGGCAACGAAAGGCAAAGGCCCAATTCAGCCAAAAGACTTACATTCACGGACAAGTAGCATTCAATCATTTAATCATTGAAAATTTCACATTCACTTAGGTCGAATGCGATAAAGTACACACTCGCCTATCGAAACTTCATTTAACAATTATTGAAAAACATATAACATTCAAGTAAACATTCACAACAATTCACATAGTCATTGGAAGTACAACATGCAAAAAACACTCACCAATTTAAGGAAAATAACGTCAAAAGTTTCCTTTCGGATTATGCCCTTGATCACCGACAAACCCTAAGAATAACCAAGAGAAAATATCATGGTTCAACCATTCAAAGTTTAGGTGAACCAAAGAAAATCCGAGTAACTACTAATACAAAGGTGCAAATATGGTTTTGGAGTGAAAAGAGAACATTTAAACCCAAGAGACATAGTACTCAAGTGATAGTTAGTTGATTTTTTTTACTCAATAAAAGGGAAACCTTCTCTATCAAGATAAACGAGGCGATTAGGGTTTGGGGTCTCCGTAGGGGCTGCTAGGGAACTCTGTCAGCCATGACGGCTTTACCGCCAGGCTGCCCGCAAATGGCCGTTGCTCTGGACGGCGCCACCTCCCACGCTCCCAAGAGCTTTGCGGCGGCAGTTGCGGCGCCTGGTTCTGTCGCTCCAGATGCCGGTTCAGAGGTTGGTACTGTCTCCTCCTTTAGAGGGGAACCAGCCTTGCGGATGTCGCAGGAAGACATGCTACGCTTAGCGGAACCATTCCGTCACGCACTAGTGGGCAGATTTGGTTCCAGCCGCCCATCAATGGATCTCATCCGCAAGTTCTTCATCTCCCTAGGCTTGAAAGGTGACTGCTCAGTAGGTCTTCTTGATCAAAATCATGTGCTTATCCGGCCGTCGCTTCAGGAAGACTACACGCGCCTGTTCGTTAGGCGCCTCTGGTACGTACATGGGTCGGCCATGACAATCTCCAAATGGTCATTGGACTTCAGGGCAAACAAGGAGATTGCGGTTGCTCCCGTGTGGGTCACGTTCCCTGAATTACTCATCCCTTTCTTCCATAAGCTGCAACTGTCCAAACTGGCCGAAACGCTGGGACGATTGTTGCGCATCGATGCGGCGACGGCTGACCTCCGAAGGCCTTCGGTGACTCGAATTCTCGTTGAGATGGATGTCTCCAAGCCTCCCATCAAGCGTGTCTGGATTGGGGATGAGGAGTTCGGTTTTTGGCAACCAGTAGTGTTTGAGGGCTGGCCTGCGTTCTGCACCTTTTGCACCAGGTTCGGCCATGCGGACGAGGAGTGTTTCAGAAAACATCCTTTGCTTCGTCCTCCAAAGTTTGCGCCCGTCGCTGCTCCATTGGTGCTTACCAAACCTTCCGCGAGCCGCAAGGAGTATGTCCCAAAAATCTTGACTGGAACTGATGCGTTCCATCAGCAACTCGTGCAATCCGAAAGGCAGGTGGCTGTTGAAGAGCGCAACGTCCAGGAACCCATAACGATAGTGCCCTCCCCCGAGGTGTCGCTGCCTCTGGACATTGTGGCGCAAGCCCAAATAGAGGAGCGGGCTCCTCATGCAGACGACGGTGGCCATAATTCAACGACGCACTTGGAGGTGCCTCTTGGCTCACGGACGGATGACCTGGAAGTAGTGGTGGGTGAGGGGCGTTTGTTGGTTGTGCTTCCTAAACACGGTTCGACGGCCCATCAGGCTCCTCCCGAGAAGGTGGAGGCAAGAGAGCTCTCCGTGGGTAATTGTTTTGAGGCTCTCCAAGATCTGGCGGAGAGCTTTGAGGAGGTGAAGTCTTTCTCCTCTCCGCGTCGGGCAAAGAAAGCTTCTTGGGGACGCAGGCTGTCCGAGGGGAACCTAGAGGAATCGAGTGCGACTCTTGAGGAGTTACGTCAGTTCCATGCGGAGTTGGCTCAAGAGTGTCAGGAGGGGCAATGTGGTGAGGCTTTGCCGGCCTCTGACCAGCTCGGGATGGATAAGCATAATGCTGAAATCAAAAGGATGAGGGGGAGACCCAAGGGCAGATGCAATCACGTGGCTCCATCGTCGCAGGCTAAGTATCTTCTGAGATCTCATGCTAAATCCAATTAGTTTCATCGTGTGGAATATCCGGGGTGCCTCTCGCCCTGACTCCATAAAGTATCTGCACAAGCTCTGCTTGGATCATAGAATTGCTCTGGTTATTCTGTTAGAACCATGTCTGACTTAAGGCAACTAGAGGTGGTACGACGATGCCTTAAGCTCAATCACGGGACCTCTTTCTTAAACGGCAAGGCAAGGTTTCTCTGGAGTAGGGACTTTAAGCTATCCTTCTTGGAAGGGGAGGGTCAAGTAGTCCACGCGAGGCTTTCCTTTCAGTCGGGCGCCGTTGTTAATGTCTCCGCGGTCTATGCCAAATGCACTAGAGTAGGCCGACGCCCTCTTTGGCAAGCCCTCGAGGCTTTCGATGCGGGCAAGGGTGAGCCGTGGATCGTAGCCGGGGATTTCAATGTGGTTTCGTCTGCGGACGAGCGCAAAGGGGGACTGCCGGTTAATGCCACTAACATGGATGAATTTAATACTGCTATGTACACTTGCGGTCTCTCCTCTGTTGACTTTGACGGCAGCCCGTTTACTTGGACGAATGGTACTCTTTGGCAGCGCCTGGACAGGGCCCTGGTGAACTCCCTGTGGGCCGCGGCTTATACATTTACCAAGGTGTCCCATCTCCCTCGTGGACGGTCAGACCACTCGCCTCTCTTAATCAAGGCCAGGGTGGGGTCTGTGGTTCCTTCTTCCTTCCGGTTTCTCAACGTGTGGCGTACTCACCCTTCCTTCTTGGAGACTGTCTCGGCAGACTGACGAGCGTCAGGATCAGGGGTAGGGATGGCACTATTTCATTCCAAGCTACACTCACTGTGGGCTAAGCTACGCAGATGGAGTACGGAGGTTTTTGGGAATATTTTTGATCGGGTACAGAGAGCAGCGGACTTTTATAAACTAAAGGAGGAGGAGTTCGACTCCCACGGCGATGAACCCTCTCGAATCCGTCTACATGAGGCGCGAGCCGTGTATCTGAGAGAGCTCTCCGTGGAATGTGAGTTCTGGCATCAAAAGGCGGCTGTTCGTTGGATCAGGGAGGGGGATGCTAACACCTCCTTTTTCCATTCGGTGGTCAAACAACGTAGAAACTCCAACTTCATCTCTCGCATGAAAGACGATGCTTTGGGCTGGCTCCACGACGCTCCTAATATACAGGACTCCGCGGTGAGGTTTTTTTCGGAGTTGTTTCAGTCGATTGGATTTGTTTCACCTCCCACGCTGTCTTTTGAGCTACCGAGGATCACCGCGGAGGAGGATGCAAAACTTCGGGAACTGCCCGGGATGGACGAGCTTCGCTCGGTGGTCTTCTCTATGGATGCTAATAGTGCCCCGGGGCCGAACGGGTTCGGGGCAGGTTTCTATCAACACTGTTGGGAGACAATCAAGGACGATCTCTTGGCAGCTATTCATGACTTCTTTAAGGGGGTCGAACAACCTCGGGGGATTTCCAGTGCATTGATAGTATTGATTCCAAAAGTGGAGGGGGCTTTCCAATGGAAGGATTTTAGACCAATCAGCCTTTGCAATGTGAGCTCAAAGATCATTTCAAAAATACTGGCCAATCATTTGGGGCACTTGCTGTCAAGACTAATTTCCCCTTGGCAGACAGGCTTCGTGCCTGGGAGGGGGATCATGGATAATATTCTACTGGCGCAAGAACTGGTGTTGGATTTGGATAGACGACTCACACATCCGAATCTGATTATCAAGCTCGACATGGAAAAAGCGTATGACAGAGTTGAGTGGCCTTTCCTTCTTTTCATGCTTCGTAGCTATGGCTTCTCCGAATTCGCAGTAGATCTCCTCTTTAGGACGTTATCTAACTCATGGTTTTCTGTATTGGTCAACGGCCAACCATCGGGCTTCTTTAAGTCTAGCAGGGGAGTGCGCCAGGGAGATCCGCTGTCGCCTGCCCTTTTCTTGGTCGTCGCTGAATTTTTTGGTCGGGGTCTTCAAATGCTTTGCCATAACTGAGCGGACATGGGCTATGTTTCGGCCGAGGGCAGAGTACCTTACCTTGCTTTTGCTGACGATACGATTATCTTCACTCGGTGCTCGGAAACTTGCTTGCTGGCACTACGTGACTTTCTCCTACTTTACCAGCAGCACTCCGGCCAAAAGGTAAATATCGGGAAGAGCGCATTCCTCTCATCCTCTAGCCTCCCTACAGATCTAGACAATCTTGTGGGTTCGACACTGGGGTTTCACAAGCAATGCTTCCCATTGAAATATCTAGGGGTGCCCCTTGCCCGTGGGAGAATGGGGGCGATAATCTTCGACCCCCTCCTAGCAAGCCTACGCGCACGTCTCTTCCATTGGAGCTCGAAACTTCTGAGTATGGGGGGTAAGGTTATTCTCCTCAGGCACGTGCTTAGCTCGCTCCCCCTATTTTTATTACAAGCGCTTTGTCCCCCAAAATCCGTCTTGGTGGCTATGGGCAGGATTTGCAACTCCTTCTTATGGAATTTAAATGTAGAGTCACGGAGGATGCATTGGGCGGCGTGGGAAAAGTTGTGTTTCCCGGTGCAGGAGGGTGGTTTGGGAGTTCGCTCCTTTCGGGACTCTGCTAGGGCCTTTGCTTGCAAGTCCTGGTGGCAACTACGCAAGAACGACTCACTCTGGGCAGATTTTATGCATAAAAAGTATATCAAGGGCACGCACCCTTCGATCGCGGCGGTGGATCGACCCCCGGCTTCGTGGAGGCGCCTGCTAGCTGTACGGGAGTTTGCGGAGTCACAGATACGATGGTGCTTAGGGAAGGGATTCGTCGATTTCTGGTATGATGCCTGGTGTGGCGACCTCCCTCTTGCACTGGAGCTGGGTGTGTCGGATCCTCCCCATTTCCTAGTGGGTGAGTTTTTTACATCTCAAGGGTGGAACGTTCTGAGGTTGAGGGAGTGGGTACCAGAGGCCGTAGTTCAGCGGATCGCTACTATCTTTTTTTCTCCGGAGCAGGATGACGTGATGGTTTAGGTTCCGTCGCCTAACGGGGATTTCTCTGTGTCCTCGGCATGGGAGGCAATTCGGCCCAAGCGTAGTATCTCTCTGGTTGACCACTATGTGTGGGGCCCAGTGGTGCCGCTGAACGTTTCCTTCTTCGCATGGCGATTGCTGCGGCGGTGGCTCCCTCTTGATTGTATTCTGCAGGGAAAGGGAGTAACGTTAGGCTCTCGGTGTAATTGCTGCCAGCAGTCGCATGAGACAGTTTCTCACCTTTTCCTGCATGGCACGGTGGCAAAAGCAGTATGGGAGCATTTTCTCAAGACCTTCGGCTTATTTCCGGCTAACTCGAGTAGTGCAGCTTCGATGTTGACGCACTGGTTTCTCTCTCACTCCAAGGTTTCGGCAGTACATGTGCGGGTTCTGGTTCCCCTATTGGTTCTCTGGTTCATCTGGAAGAGTAGGAACTTGGCAAGGTTTCAAGCAGGCATTTTTACCCCAACTCAGGTGATCTCTCAGATAGAAGAGTTTTTGGGACAGATGGGTAGGGCTCGTGCTTTCGCGAGGCCCTCTTTTGCAGGTGATCGGGACTGCCCGTGGGCGAGCCTCTGCAACCCCTCAAGGCGAGATATAGGGGCGATGCTGGTCTCTTGGGAAAAGCCACCGACGGGCTGGCTTAAGCTCAACTCTGATGCTAGTGTAATCAATGGTAAGGCGGCTGGTGGAGGGGTCTTGCGCGACCACTGGGGGAGGGTGGTCTGGGCGTACTATAAGGAGTTTGGGGACTTGGATGTGCTAGCAACGGAAGCCCAATCCCTTCTTTTCGGTCTCCAATTGTGTGTGGAACGAGGTGTTAGCTCGTGGGTTCGAAAGCCTTGTCAAAGTGGCCACTGTGCACTGTTTTGCGAGAGATCACACACCACATTGGACGCCAGGAGGCAACCCTCCTTCATGTATTTCGAGAAGCCAATGCGGTGGCGGATGCATTAGCTTCCCTGCAATTGGGAGAGCATCGGTTGTTTGTGTCACTCATGGCCCTTCCGTCCAAAGCCAAAGGGCAGGCACGTCTGGATTGTCATGGAGTTCCCCGTATCTGCACGGGAAGATGTTGAACAGGAGCAATTGCTTTCTCTTTCTTGTCACTGTTTGGTCTTTCTGTCTTGTAACCTCCTTTGGTTCTAATAAAAGTTAGAATTAAAAAAAAAAGTGATAGTTAGTTTAAAAAAAAAAATCCAAGAGACATGAGTAACCAAGAATTTTCTCATTCTAGTCATAAACCAAGCTCAAAATGGTCTCAGCTCCAACTTAAAATTGAAAATGAAAGTAAGGACCGTTTTAGGAAACCAGAATTTTTCCAGTTTTGCGTGATGCTATTTGAAAAATCATATCTCAAGTTTCGTAAGTTCAAAATTTATAAACTTTAAACCGTTGGAAAATAGATTCAAAGAATTGCAATTTCTCAGAAGACACCTTTGCAAGATTCTATCCATAAGTCAGTCAAATTCCAATCTCAAGTGGCTGCTTTATCCAGTAGAAAGACAGAACAGGAATGGAAATTCAGTCAACTTTTGAAAATGACATATATTCATAGGAATTGAGAAAAATTCTGAAATTTTCACGGTAGAAATTAATCTGAATCTAGTTTCAAACGCAAGGAGCAGAACTCAATTTGGATTTTTCTACACTAAGATATGACAGATTTCCCAAGACTGCTTAGAGTCTCCTGCGGAAAAAATTTCAGCAGCACTTCCTTTGTGTTTTCCAATTTTTTTCCAGCCATGAAAGGTTTCAAGTTTTTCCTCAATCAACCCAATTCAACCACCACAAGTAAGCATGTCAATATAGCTCTTCATCTAGGCTAAAAACCATCCAAACATAACTTATATCTATCAAATATTCCACCACTACCAAATCTGGAATTTTCTCATCAAAGCTGAAAATTCATCTTTTAATGCTAAAAAGTCACAATCATGCCATTAATCATCTCACAAATTCCATATCCAAGCTCAAGACCAACATTTGCTAGTTAAACAATACAATCAAAGCTGAAAAATATAAAACCCTAGCTGAAATTTTCGCTAAACAACCCAAAACTAGAAAATCACCCATAATATTCCAAGATTCAAAGCCTCTATAGCATATTTAGCAAGATTAAGGTAAAGACAAGAACTGGATGAACTTATGCCTTCCAAAACCTTCTTGAAAGCGAAGAACCAAGCTACTTCTTCCAAAACTTTTACCACACCAAGCTTCTTAAACACCGATGTGAAGGTTTAATTGGTTTAGTTTTTGTGGTTCAATTCAAACAAGGCTAAATCAAGATGTAGTTGGAGGTTTCTTCCCTTTTGTTTTTTTCTCCCAAAATTTTGGCCACAATGAAGGAAAATGAAGAAAAATGAGCCAAGAAAAAAGATAAGAAGAAAGAAAACTCATTTGGTCAAACATTTCCTTGATTGCCAACACTTGGCAACTCAAGATTCTTTCTTTTTTTTTTCTTTTTTCACCTTTCTTTAGTCATAAATGGTGGCTGAATTAAGGGTTAATTTAGGAAAAATTAAATGAAATAAAAACAAGGAAATTATGGTAAGAAAGTATTGGTCAAGCGGTGTACTTAACCGGTAACAAATGGCGTACGTCGGTTCAAGCCTATTTCACTTAACTCTCTTGTACTTTTGTTTTAACTTATGATTCATTAACTTATTACTAGCACTTCTAATCACACACTTTCTCTTACCTAATACTCACTCTTATCCACCAATTTAGTATACATACCTCACCAAGTGATCACACGACCAAAATGCACCAAAACCCTAACTTACTCTAACTTTAAAAGTAAAAGTAAAGCTCTTGACTCAACTAATAAAATCACCATGAAATTTATGGCTAGTAAATAATTAAATAGTCAAAGTAAAGAACTCTAGAAGGAAATATAAATTAATTTTTCAAAATGGGAGGAAATTCTAAAGGAATTTTCAGATCCTCACACTTATCGCATTTGGATGTTTCCTATATGGATGCAAACCTAAATTTAAATAAGATATTGAAAGGAGCAAAATGTCCATTCAAGGTTTAATGAGTAACAATAGCATTAATTGCGAAACCCAAAATAATTTTTTGAAGGGGTCACGAGTATGTAAAAATGAGATTCAAAGAAAAGAAAATTAAATTATATGTATAGATAAAAGTGGTCAAAGAAAAGGGAATACAGTATAATAGGTATGAAAAGCAAAAGCTCGTGGTACAATTTTCTTTCTTATAAAGGTGGTAATGGGATATTTAAGTTAAAGAGCTATAATCACCATTTTTTATAGCTGAAAATTAACTCTTGTAATCTAGACAAGCAAATGAACTAACTTATTTTCCAATTTCCTAAATAATATGCAACTTCAAATAATATGATTCACACATATAGAGGGCAAGTGAATAATATAAGAGAAAATATCATATAAATGATAAATATTGCCTAAAATGGAAAGATGCATGAAAATGCAATGAATGACACACAAAAGATTAATCTAACGCGTGAATAATCAAGGGTGTAGCGTTGAATCAGTCCATTTTTAGAAATCCACATTAGCGTTGGACTAGCAAGGCAGTGGAGAAAGAAAGCATAACTAGCATTGGACTAGTGTGATGACGTCATGCATTTGTAATACATTATAAAACAAATAAAGTGTGAATTAAAATAAGTAAACATATAAGAGCACATAGTAGATAACACATAAGTACAATATTTAAATGCAAAAATTCTAAGAAAAGTGAGTAAAATACATCAACACATAAACACATAAATACACGAAACCTATCTATTACAATAGAGTACCTAACTACAATCTAAAAGGGAAGTATTAGAAAATAAATCTATCTACCCTATATATTACATTTAGGGACCTAACTGCAATCTAAGATGGGGAAATAAAATAAATATATCTACTATATCTATTACATTTGGGGATCTAACTACAACCTAATTTGGGAAATATGATGAAATAAATCTATCTGTCATATCTATTACACCTTAAGATATTTAAATACCCTCCAAATAAATACAAAATTTGGATTAAACACACATAAAATATTGAATAGAAATTTAAAATCAATAAATAAAAGAAAACATATAAATACATGTAAGCACACAAGATCACGTAATTAGAATCTAAAGGATAATAAGGGTAACTCCCTTTTAAAGTAATGACTAAATGAAGTAAGGATACCCTATTTATACTCAAACTGATAAAAGGATCACAACACCAATTTAATTGAAAATATAAAAAAAAACACAATAGATTCATATTATTATGTTAAAAAAAATGTAAATAAATTCAAAATACTCAAAAACTAAAATGAGTAAATCTTATATACACTGATAGTGTATACACTATCACTGTTGGATTCATGATATTTGTGCAAAAGTTGAATTTGAAAGTTAAATTTTGCATTGTTGTCATTCATCCAACGCTGGCAATGTATACACTATCAGTGTAGGGAAGATCAATTCAATTATAATTTAGATACATGCAAGAGAAGCATAATTAAGAACTAAAGGAAGGGAACAATTATAATTGAGAAATGAAAAACTATTAGGGACTAAATTGTAAAAAAAATAGAAAGTTTTTGGGGTCAAAATATAATTTTATAAAAAATTAGGGATCAAAATTAAATAAAAATAAAGTTTAGGAGTCTAAATGTAATTAAATTAAGGGTTGAAATGAAAGAAAATTAAATTTTTTGGACCAAAATAAAATTACTCAAAAATTTAGGGACCAAATTGTAAAATTTAGCTTTTGATTTGGACGAATATGAAGAAAAAAAAAATTGGGTCTTGGTTTTTGCTTGGACCGGACTACTCTAACCCAAAAGAAAGATGCAACCCATTTTCATTAAAATAAAAACAATCCCAAATGAAAATTTAAACAAACCAAATGAGAAACCCATCTAAACTAATGTCAAACCCTAAACTCAAATCCAACGAAATAATAAGGCACAACCCAAACGAAATAAAAAAAAATACCCTACCCTCTTTTTTTTCTTTTCCTTCTTTTCTTTCATTTTCTTCTTCTTCTTCTTCCCTTCTCTCTTTTCCTTCCCACCTCCGATGAGCTCCAAGCTTCAGTAGCCGGTGGCCATAGCAAATGTCGGCAGCGATGCCACCGCTGACTACCGGTCGCTGGCGACCTCTTTGGTCGCAAAATTTCACCAAAATACATCTCCCAACTTCATTTTTTACGTAGAATGTGACGCCTCCACTTCTCCCTAAGGCGAATCAGAGGGTATCCGCAGGACACCTGCCCAGCTCTCGCCAGGACTCAAGCAGTTTCCGTGCAAACTTAATGCAAAACTATTCGACAGCACTGGATAAATAAGAAAGTGCGGGAAACTTCCAAACTTAACAATATATATAACGTTAATCCACCCTTACATGAAATTTCTAAAAGTTACATCAATATCCAAAATATACCATATCTGGGTACATCAAATATCCAAATCATACATAAAGTTCCCAAGAGTACAACCAATAAGAGGTCTAGCCCAAAATACATTAGAAACCCTAAGCCAGAAGTGCATCAAAAGGGGTTTCTCCAAGTTTATTCCATGTCCATTCCTGTTAAGGAAAATAAATCTACGGGGTGAGCAAAACTCTCGTGAGACCAAGAACACACATGCAAGCACGTAGTCCAGATAACAGTCCCAAATAACAGTTTAAGAGATAATTATAAGTAATTAATAAAGCCAGTGAAATTAAACAGAAACAATTCAAGGATATGATAGCTCTCAGGAGCTAAGTTCCACTTGCTGTGTCGATGACATTCGTATACCTCCCCGCGGTGACACTCCGTCAACCGGGTCGGTATTTCCAATCCGTAGAACTCCACTAACTTCCCATCCGTCCACCGTACACCGCTCCGGGCCCGCACGATATTTATAAGGCGATACTCCACGAGTATGCCAAGCAAGATCTCTCAATAGATCAAGTTTATCATGTGAATCTC